AGTCCATTTCGATTCATATTCCATTCTTCATAATGGAAGAAAAATGTACGACAGCTTTGACAGATCCTTCCCATACAATCCAATTTGCACATCCCTTTTTTTTTTTTCCTATTCCGTTCCCATGTAATCTTCTTTTTCGTTCTATTTTAGCATTCAGATAAATGATAAAATTATTTCTTAATGTTGTTCTCTTTAGAGGATTTCTGCAAAATCTTACATCCATAATGGATATCTAGTTGTTTCCGGAAAATCTTAATCTTATAAGGTAGCTATTTCCGGAAAATCTCGGGCTTATAAATTAGCTTTGTAAAAGAAAAAAAGGAAACGGAAGAATTAAGCTTATTCCTGATCACGTAATCTCTTTTATTGTTTTCTCAAATCAAAGGATCAAGTATTTTATTTCTTTCATAGATACGTGTACTTGCGACATGTTCACGTACTAAAAGATGTTGTCCGTCATTCCGTTTTCATCCCTGTCATCAGTTTAGTCATCGTTACAAATGCGTGCATTCATGTAAGAAGTCAATCAGATTTGAGAAGTAGAAACAAAAAAAAAGAAACAATTTTAATGATTCATTAATTTGTAGATTATTAGATAATGAAAAAAAGCTGATAGAATTATTCTCTCTCCTCCTCACTCCCTCTCTCTCTCTCCCTCTCTCTTTCTTCCCCTCTCTCTTCCTTTTTATTGATGTTAAAGGTGAAAGAGAAAAGTGTGTCTAGAAAACAGGTTTCTTGTCATCATGAAATTTCCATTGTCATTACATTGTGACAACATTTCTCGTACTTGTGTTTTCATATAAGCATATCATATAACCTGATGCAATTTAGATATATCACGTTTCAATCAGAGGATTTTGAAAGGTTAATTCATTCATACCGATATTGATACTGATACCGATATCGGTATCTATACCAACACCAAAATCGATACCAATACTTATACTAAAAATGATACACTGATAGTGATAGTAATACCGATAGCAATACTGATACGATACGATACTGATACTGATATCGATACATTCGAAATTTCTTCCATTAAACGGAAATATTTTTATATTTGTATCCCGAATTTGCTTCTTATGTGTTTCCCTTTCGATTGTTTACATTATTGATGTAATTAAGCGTAAGTAATGCGTGTATATTTCTTGCAAAAGATTTCTCATTTAACTTTTACCTTTTAATATCAAAACTTTTTATTACTCAAATTATACCACCCCTAATTTTATCTTCCATTGATTAACTCTTCTTAGTATATAACTAAATGCTTGTATTGTATTCAAGAAAGTGAATACATTTGTTAAATGAAGAGCTTAAATGTAGAACGGAAATTTACGTAAAATAAGTGAACGCGTCATACCGGTTTATACACGCGCTTCAAATCTGAGAAAGGTATAAATCCTAGGTGAGTCTGGAATCTCCGTAATAAATTTCAGGCTAACATCCACATCCGCATTATTAAAAGGATGTGGCGGACCGTCTTACTTTTGTTAAGGATATCGTAAATCGTAAATTGATTCTTTAAGAATCTCTTTATGGCTGTCATCATTTGACAGTTTTTATTTGCTTTTTCCCTTCAAATCTTTAATATATTGTATAGGAGAAATTATAACGTTTTGAAAATTAATTTCAATTAATTTTAATTAAAAATTTCTTTAAAAAGTGCAATATAGGAGCAGAAACTTTGATAATGGTTAGTGATTCGTACGTGCATTTGTTTAAAAAACTGTGATGAATACCTATCCTTCATACGTGCATATGCTTAAAAAACGTGATTTTTACGTATCATTCAGAAATGTACATTTCTTTCGAACATTTTTGATGCTATATTGCTAAAGAAAAAAAAACGAATTTACTACGATTCGCTTAAACCCATCACATTAGTATGTTTTGGTAACGATGGCTGACATATTCACATGTGTATATCTATCTTTATATTCGTTTCTTATTTGCTTTCGAATTTGATTTCAGAATTTAAATTTCATTTTATGTCCAATAATTGCTTCCGCTATACTCTTCAATGTAATTTTTTGTATATATCTGAAAGTTAAAGCTAAGATGAAGTTTATTCGTTTAGTTTAATTTCTGAGATATTTTATGATTTGCTTTTAATTTCAATCATCACTTCCTTACTTCTTTTATTCTGTTACATAATCTTTTTCGATGAATGGTTTTGTTTTAAACCATAAATGATAGCAATTAGATGTATGGAAGAAGCATACATTTTATCAGAAATTCGAAGTTGTTAAAAAGTTTTTTCTTTTTTTTTTCCTGATTTCAATTCCCTGTTTCTGATAGCATGTTCCGGAGGCTTATTTATGCATTTATAATGTGCAACAGGATTACCTACTAATTACCGTAATGATTCTGATAGTAATGGATAATTTTGATTAAAAATGGTTGGTATACCTGTAGCACTAGTGACAGCTGACCTTGTTTTTATCTGTCTTTTATTTTCCTCTCATTATCGGAAAATCAGAATGATTGATTTTTCCGACGAAAGGTATTTTTTTCCCCATCGGATTTGTTTATACCAAATTCAGGTATGAATTGTTTCCAAGTTTTTTTGTGTATTTTGGTGATGGTTTCGAACTCCACCTGTCTATTCCAAAAGTTATAATTCAGTAAAATGAATAGATAATCCTAATATATCCCTTGTGGTTGATTCGAAGTAATTAAAAATAACTTATTGAATTTTAAGAAATTTAACATATTTCGTGTTTAGCGCAACCCGTTCATCCAATTGTCAAACCTTTTGAATGAAAATTGAAATTTAAGCCTAGATATAAATTACAGATTGTAACTTTGATAGTTAGCTTTTTCTTAATAATTCTCAGGTACTTGTACTTGTATTTACGATAAAACATGCGATCAGGCTATTCTTTTTCTCCAGCTTTTTTTTTTTTCTGAAGCTAAAATTAAATATGATTTGACTTCTGCTTCTGTTAGCCAAATTCACTTGATGGTTTGTTAGGATTAAATTCGAACTTATTTCAAGATATGTCATAATATTGAAAGTTACGAGTAGTGATGATTTGAAGTACACTTAAAATTCTTTCACTTTTTTTTTTTTTTCTAATCACTGATATTAACCTATCATTTAGTACTCTCGATTATTAATATGAAAAGTTTTTAATTTTACTCCTCCACTTCAAGAGTATAAGTGAATCATTTGTTGTATTCATATAAATTGTATGTATAATTAGGAATCGTTTTGATATTCGCGTCATTCCGTTCAAAAAAAAAAACCGCTTTTTACATTCTTATATATTGTAATGTCCACTTTGATGTGGACATTTTAATGTGAATTATGTTAAACTCGAAAATGCTTATTGCGTTATAATGTTTGATTTTTTTTTTCTTGAAAAAAAAAAACGTTTTCAGAAGAAATAAATACGGTTGGATGTGCGTGAGAGTAGCTGCTCTATTCTATATGTATGCATACTTGATTTCAAATTATGTCATATTTCTCGTCAATTAAGTGGACATACAAACGAACAGACGCTGTTGTGTTCTTCTTTTTTTTCCTTCCCCAACTTTCACCTTTCCTTTATTATTGATTTGAAGAATTACTAAAGAAATTAACGATAATGCGAGAAAAATACGTCGAACATATGCGATCCATTTTAATTATTTTAATCATTTTCTTTGGTTAAGTTTTTTTTTTCTATTTTTATTCTTATTTCTTTTTAGTATTTTATTCTTTTCAAATTAAGAATATCAGGATTTCTCTTCCTGGAAATTTATGATATGATACGTACGTAATGTTATATGTGTCATATGATGGTTATATATAAATAACAGTACGGTTTCAGTGATTATTATTTGCAACATTTCATTTATCCATTTTCTAGTTAGAATATCGAAATACCAGGAAATAGGAAATATTCGAGGATATATATGCTCATAGTTTTCGTATGATAATTGTTCATACTGTTGATCACAAAAGATATCATTTGATGTTAAATTCATCATCAACAGCTCTCGGTTAATTTTCATTTTTACAAAGAATTGTCAATTGACAGGTTATTCGTGCAATACAATTCTCGCTGGTAGTAATTCGTTTGCACAGGGTAATTTGGCAGTACTTTTCAATGCTACTTCAGCAAAATCCGGTGATGATCATCCTCTCAAGGCCAATGTACCCAATTTATGGTAGGTTCGGATTTTTCTATTTGGCTGAATGAATTCTGTATCACGATTATTTTATAATAGATTTGCAATTAAACCACAGAAGTTCTCATATGTTTTAAAGTGATTCTTGATTTTTAGTTTTTTACTCATTTCAATTTCATCAAAAGATGAAGAGAGAATATTGGATCGGTGGATTTTTTGGAATTTTAGAAATTTTTTAGAACTTTAGAATTTTAATGATCAAATAGGATTACTCTTCTAAGGATTGAAATTAGAAGAAATGAGGGAGAGATCATAAATGTTCAATTATTGAACGACTGTTTAGGTGTCAGGCAATGTCCAACCAGACTCAGCAGTTATTGCCCATCAAAGAAGCTCACTTTGTACGGGATATGAATAAGGAAATTCTCCCAGCGCTTATTAACAATCAGACGCGAGCAATTTTAGAATTTGGTAACACATCAATTTTGAGTGCTGGCAGATATCGCTGTGAAATTATCACCGAAGAAGATGAATTAGTATGGGGATGGTTATTCGTGAACAGTTAGTTTTTTTTTCTTAATTAGAAAAGGTTCATGACTGATGAAATTCCCAGTCCTATTTCGACTATTTCGATGGAGCATATGGATCAGATTTCATAGATGCTAATTGTATGTTAATAATTTCATTGGATTACTTGTGATCATTATAGTGCGACCTGTCTTCCATGTAAATCATTCGAAGACATTGGATGCAGTTGGAGATAATCATTTCCGCGTTAAAGCTTCCGTTCTGAGAGCAACAGAAGGTGAAACAGTAACGCTGAGCTGCCCCTGTACGAGGCTTTCCAGAACCAACCATTCGGTGGTATAAAAATGATGTGCCTGTTGGTAGGTGTTATATAGCTATTGTTGACATCGAATTTTTTAATTTCATTATAATTGGGAGCCAAAGACTGGCTCTTAATCTGACGAAAAACAAAAATTTCAGTAGCCAATAAAAGCGTCTAAGTTTATAATTTTAGTTTACATAAATGCATCTTTAAATATTCATAATTGCTTACAACTTTTTCACTTACTGAAACAAAAATGTTACAGCGTCGACGGAGCAGATAACCTTCTTGGAAAATGATTTACAAATTGCGAAAGTTGAATTTGATGATGAGGGATTTTATTCATGTATTGCACAAAATTCATTTTCCATATTTCTTGATGGCAAAAATATCCTGTGGGAATCACGGTTGGATCGTGAACTTAAGGTGAAAAGTAAGTTCTGCACTGTTTAGTATGTTTTAATTGTTCAGGTAATGAAACATAATTTGTTCATTTGAATCAAAGAAAAATGGACTGAAATCCTTAACTGTATTCGTATAAGTCTTTCTTACAACACTTATTAAAATTAAAAATATTCAACTGGCGTAATTCTTATTTAAAATAAGAATTACGAGGGGAGAAAACGCTGATAGTAAAGAATGAGAAGAATGATTTAGCAAGTTTGAACCATACACAAGGGAAGGTATGCAAGATGCGAAATTATGAACGTATTATCAAATTGAATGTTATGATAGATAGATTTTCATCTGCATTAACTTTTTGCCTATAAAATTTAATTGATTCCAGTCATTTCAAATTTTCGATTTACAATAAGAATTTGCTCCAAAAAATATTAATCTCTTATACTTGAGTACTTATTGTTGCTAGACTATATAGAAAAGTTCGTTTTTAATGTGGAAATTGATGACAGATTGTAGCATTAGTATGGTTTTATCATCATATATACAACTTTTCCTTGTTTAACATTTAATGTAATACGGTTAAAGATCTATTATTTTAAAGCTGACAGTAATGCGACATTATTATAAAGTATTTCATGGTCATAGAATTTCAATTTTTTAGGCTCATATAGATGGATTTATCCACTAATAGTTATTATCATCACGCTGTTGTTGCTATTCATCATCATCTATGCATGCTCGGCTTTCAATCGCTATAAAACATACAATGTTGAAAAACGTGAAAGGTTTGTTGAATTTAGTTTTTTCACTTTTGTTCAACTTTCGTATAAGTATGTAAGCTACATATTTATGTTTATTGACCACTAGCTACTTTACATTTTATCGCAAGATGAATTTAAATTTCCTTAAGAGCTATCATAATACTATCTTTATTCTCAGTTAATAATCTATTATTTTGCTTTGTTTGATGAACAAAGAGCAAAATAATACTATGTGATTTTATTGCTCGAAAGTTTACCTATCATTTGCAGACGGAAGAAGCGACAAACAAATCTTGGTTATAATAAAAATATATCACAACAGCAACCAATCTTAGGTTATAATAACGAACTGGAATAAAATCCGGTAACCAAAGAAAAAAAAATTATGGCAGGTAGGCACAGCAATGTGCATTCTTGATCCTTGTTTTTTTTTCGCACCACTGCCATCCAAAAAAATAACGGTTTGGGAAATAACTGCTTTTTTATAGAATTATTACTCCAAATAGCCTACTTTGAAGGAATGTTTTAATGTATCTTTTGATTCAGTTGTTTTACTAATACATAAATATTTGCTGAATGATGCGTGCCTCAGAGCTTTTCATTCTGCCATTTCAAAAATTTTTCGATTATCATTTCAAAGTGCGTGATTTTTGGACTTCTTTCTGATTGAGTCATAAATTTTTCAAAATTTAAAGTACGAAGTCTTCTCTCCTTTTCATTGTTTCAATTTAATTATTAATTTCGTTCATCACATTCTTCTTGAAAGAACCAATAATGTAACCTCATTAAGCTACTTATTTTCTATTGTTTAAAAATTTGAAATCAATTTGCAGAAAAAATAGGTTCAATTTTCTTTAGCATAACTTTTCTCTACTGCCGCATATTCCTCCGTTACATATAATCTAGTATGTTTAATGAATGATTTCCAGCCTTTTTTTTTAAGCTTTCCAATTTTAGTTTTTTATTATATGTTAAGCCTACTATTATTTGTTACCCATTTTTTCTGTGTATATCTCATATTTGCTGTACCTTACGTTAATAATCTCAATTTTTCCAAGTCAATTAAAATTAGAGCTAAATAGGGAAGCAATGTTTAAAAAAAAAAGAAAAAATTTTATTAACCATTCATTAGGATGATAATTCTGCAGCCTTATACAAATAATATATTATGGTGGGGGAAAAAAATGAAGAGAAACATTTATTGATTATGAATTTTTCGAAAAATCTTTAGAATTCTTCATCTTGTATCTTATTTAAAGCGGAAAACTTTTTGTGTCCTATATTCTACGTAAGTTGGAAAATTATAAATTCCTTGCTTTTTTTTTTTTTTTTTTTTTTATCTACAAGACAGCTACATGTTCATTTTATGATCGCTGCTTAATCAGTTGTTATCATCCGGAAATATGAATCTTTCACTTTTTTAAAATTTCTATGAGTTGTTTCAGTGTTAATTATTTTCCCAATTGTTTTTGTATGAAATGATGTATGCAGATAATTTCCTATTGTTTTGATATTTTTATGCTTCTATGATAGTAAAATTCTTTCTTTTAATTGATTTAAATCCAATCAGAAAAAGTAATTTTTGAGAAATGCTTTACAGTCATGAGAAAGATTTAAATTTTTGGTATGTTAAAATTGGCTTTAGCATTTAACCATTGTGATTGATGAAATTTCAAACAAGAAAAGAAATATGAACATGAATAATAAATCATTTATCCGTTCGGAAAGTTCATCCACATTCTTTTTCAGAATAGGATGCAACTACTAGTAGTAGCACTTACTTGATCGTTTCTTTTGTTTGTTTTTTTTTGAAAGTCAAAATTGAGGATTTTCAATCTCTCAATAAATCATTAGATTTTTAGAATTTCTCAATCATTCAAATGACACAATGAACAAGTTCTCTTGCAAACAGTTTGCATAAGCTGTCGGTAACTTCGACGATTGCATAATGATTCGGCGCAATTCGGTGCTATATCCCAGCATTTCCACATATTTGTGGACAATCGATGACCTAAAAATTGTGGACTAATTTCTATAATCCTTAATAGAGTGTTGAAATATGTGGAAATATTTTTTGCATTAAAAATAGAAACAACTGAAGATAATTTTGTTTTCAATTAGTCCTATTTTATTTCAGACTTCATTAAATTTAAACACATTATGCATAATTTAAAATTCATTATTTCTAATTGACAATTAATTACGACAAACCTAATGAACATAAACCACATGTTTCTGGACATTCTTTACGCATCAGTTGTGCGTACGTTCGTTCACTGCATAAATGTTGTTTGTCTAAAACTGATTATTTCATAAACCGTAATTATTCCATATCGGAATATGATAATAATCATTACTGTAGATGGAATTAGCCGGGAGATCTTAGACAAATTAGGACCAATCAAAATTTCATCTTGAACATAATTAAGGTAAAATCTCACTGAAATATTCATCAAATTCAAATACCTTCACAATCTGTTGATGAATCTGTACATGCAGTTTGTTTCCAATTTTTTGTTGTAGAATGTGGGATAGTTGTTGAAAGTGTAGTTATTTGCTTTTCCGTAAATTCTTCCTTCCCTTCTTCTTCTTCTTCTTCCTCCTCTTCTTCAACTTGATCAGTTGTTGTTTCTAATTCAGAATATTCGACATTATCTGTATCTTCATTATCTTCCACATCCACAATTTCTAAAATAAATTCTTACCAGATGACCTAAATATCATGGCATCTTCATTTTACTACTCTCAACTCTTATGATATCCCGTAATTTCTAACTTAATTTTAAAATTGGTATAATTTTATGATAAGATAGAGGATATAATTGGCCTTAAAAAGTTGAGAAATTGCTCAAGTTAAACAAACTGTCGAACTTTTAATAATGGTATCACAAACCTAAATCAGGTTCTTTCTCAGGTTCTTGCTTAAGTTGATCCTCTATAATCTCCTCTTTCCGACTATCTTCACACAAATTGCATGTCCTGTAAAACAGGAAATTTGATCAGGAAATGGAATGCTAAATCCACTACACTTTTTCCTTCCGAAGTAATTTCGATTTATAAACTACTATTTAAAGCTATTTGAATGACCGAAGAGAATAAGGCAACGTCATAATCGTAATCCTTTTCCGGATTAAAAGTGATAACTTTCATCATTTGCTGTAACCTGATTGTGTGCTAATACTTCCCAAATATCAATCCGGTTCAGATAGACGGATACATACATCATCAAAATATATAGCACACAATATACTTACTTTTTACAAAGCGACCGCATGACACTATGAAATGCATTACTTTGACATAGATGGCTTCTCCGTTTGCAGTAAGCTGATTCATCTGCGCAAATAATTTGAAACTTCCGTTCAGCATCAGTTGCCGAAGTAATAAATAAGAGTAAAAGCAACAAGCAATTCTCTAAAAGATTGCGCATTTCTCGCAATAAAATTCAAGTGTATTTCATAAATTTCAAGGTGGACAACGATGACAATTTGACAATTCGATGGATGAAACTAGCAATGAGGAAGTTGCACTCTTTGAATGTTGACAAAATTAGGAATGACCAATGATAGTAATATCTCAATGGTCAAATGGTGCACTTAAATAATGTTGTCTGAATAACTATTAAAGAAATTTTGTCAACTGGATTGACTCTTCTCAAGTGAACTAACCGATCAACAATCATTTCACCTTGATTACCTTCACTCTCTCATAATTCCCTCTCTCTATAATTTTGTTGACTTTAGTGACCATCGGATTTAGTAAGGAAAACGATACAACTGAATCATTCGGTAATTTATTCCTATGTTATTACACAAATTATACTATTTTTTTTTTCTCTCTTTTAAATTAACATTCGTTATTTACAATTTTTCTCTAACCGAATATAATCGGATTTTGAGTATAAATCAGGAAATGAGATGCAATGAGTGCATCGGTTGAAATTGCAAAATTTCAACTTCTGAGCTTTTATGCCCAATCATTACTAATTTCTGCTATTCAGGTCATAGGTCAAGACAAATGATATTAAATGTAAATTATTATACTAATTAAATTAAATCATAACATAACGGTAGTTTTCTTAATTAAAAAAAAAAAAAAAAAAACATTCCAACTCATCTATTTCAATGGATAGAGATTTAAAAAAAAAAAGAAGGTACCCTTGTTATTCTTCTACCGCTGAAATTTACTAAGTAAAAATGTCACCACTGAATGGTGACATTTTTACTTAGTAAATTACTTCCAATTGAACAAAATTATAAGTTGTTTACAACAAACAATAAATTGATCTAAAATTCATTTACATCCTGATGAATACTTTACTTCTATTTATTCACCACATAATCATAAAAAGTTTCATTTTCTGCATTATTAATAGCCGATTTTTTTAATTTACCATTTTTATAATTAAAAATACCAACAAATAATTTTTTATTTTTATGTTACTCAAGAAGATAAACACTAATTATTTGTTTCATTTAGTTGATAATTAATGATTCTTACGAGAAGCAAAATGTCACCTCTGTTGCGATTCTTTCCAATTAACATAACTTGCAATCATATTTACCTGATAAAATTTACCTACCTGTTTATCTTCTATTTACCTGGCTTCCTAAAATATTACTGCTATACAGAATTTCATTAATAATTAAATTCATGTCACGATATTTCTCATTTTGTGTCGAATCCAGTTGGGCGCAAAATGGCGAAAGTATACGAGACGAAAAAAAGTAATGAATCTTAAAAAGTCAATTTCAACTAATTTCTTTAATAAAATGTAAGCTAATTAATTGGAAAAATACTTTTATCACAATAAAATTCATATCTTCTATTTTTGGCAAGCATTTCATATTCTGACAATTTTAACGATGAATAATGGATCCCAAACCTGAACTTTGCTTTTGAATTCAGCTATTATGTGATGATTACATTATCTTCTATTTTTTGCTTATCAATAATCGAAAAATGAAACTTAATTAATTATTCCTATTTATTATTCATTAATTAATTATTCCTTATTTAATAAATCTCAAAATTAGCATTAATTCCTGCGAATTCATTTCGTTTCTTATTTTTTTCCTTTTTTTTTTGTGTCACCATTAAAAATTTGCTACTCTTCAAAAAGAAACATATGAAAAAGAAGCGCAAATGTACCAACAAAAGTTATAGCAATATCAAAATATCTTTTTCATATTTTCAATGTTAAAAAATAATGTTTTTCTTTTCAGATATTAATAATTGCAGTGAAATAAAAAAGAAAAAAAAGAAAAAGAAAAAGCTCAATTTCAGAAGAAAAACTTCATCTAATATCAATTAATTTTTTTGCTTAATTATACCAAAAAATTAATCAATAATGCTGCGCCCAAATACTGTAAACAAATTGTTGATAAAAGTTATTATCAAATGATTAAAGTTACCAAACAAATTTTATTCATTATATTCTACAATTAAATCTCTTTCATTTGCAATCTTTTCATATTTTTTATCATCACATTACTTTGTCATTGTTATTTCAATTGCTTTACCTATTTTGTTGATTTCATATTTAAATTTAGAATTTAGGCGCTTAGCTCAAATTTTCAATCTAAATTTCATCGATCTCAAACGATTGACTATATTGAAACAATTTTATCGAGACTATTAAGCGTGATAATTGTACTGATAAAACAATGGTTAAATTCGTCTAAAATTTGATCACCAGGATGATAGGTAAATTACAGGTCTAATTACTAATTAGTCTTGTAGATCTTTTCTGTAAATTTTGTTTGTTTTCTTGACATGAAGATGATGATACAATGTTAAATGATGATAGGAAAAAGTCGATTTTTTAAAATTATTTTTTTTGCAATTACTTGATTATTTTGGTTTAACGCTTTTATAGATCCAAATAAAACTAGTAATTTAAAAATTTTTCAATTAGAAAT